TTTTATAAATAGTATTAAGGAATTTATAAGGTTGGCCTCATTCTTAAACTTTCTTTGACTTATCTGTCAGGAAAAGAAGTTTCTGGGGATGTTTTACAGCACACTGTAACGAGGTGGAAATGTGGTATATTTTTAAATGAGGTTTGAAATGTTCTGAATAAGTTCTTTGGTATATAAACTTCCTCCCATATACGTTAGTCCAGTTGATTTTTGGTTGGGTTAGATAACCTTTAAAAAGACACTGAAATTTACTTTAATTTCAGTATAAAATACTTTGCACTATTGTAATTAATTTTATAGACAGATCTAAAATGAGAAACAGTAAGGATGCTAAGCTGCTCATAAGCATGAGTCTCCTTGTTTTTATTTTGTTCTTTGTTTTTTTTGAGTCTGTAATTTATACACTAGGGTACCTCAAGTTTGTGAGCTTACCAAAAATACTAGGCATATCTTCACAGATATGTACTTACAACATACCATTTAATAATAATAAAATAAATGCAGAATAACACATAATCTCATTCTTGTTAAATAAACAGACCATGCTCTGAATGGGTGTGTGGATGAAAATTTTGCCAGGCATGGTAGTGCACAAGGCCAGCCTGGTCTACACTATACCAAGACCCTGACTGAAAAAACAAAACAAAACAAAATGAACCTGGGCACTGGTGGCTTTTGCCACCAGTGTGATTCTAGCTACTTGAGAGGATTGTAGTTCAAGGCCACCCTAGGCAAAAAAAGGTTAGTAATATCCCATGTCAACAGAAAAAGCTTGGTGTGATGGCACACACCTGTCATCTCAGTGATGGTGAGATGCCTAAAATAGTAGGATTGTGGTCCAAGCTGGCCTGGGAAAAAAGTGAGACCCTATCACCAAAACAACCAGAGCACAAAGGACTAGAGGCATGGCTTAAGTGGTACAGGGCTTGCCTAGCAAGCACAAAGCTCTGAGTTCAAATCTTAGCACTGCCAAAGAAAACAAAACAAAAACAAAGAAACAAAAAAAGAATGAAGAAAATTCAAAACCTCTAATACAAAAGATTTTTTTAAATCTCCTATAATACATTAACTATAGTTAACATGCATGCTCTTTTTTCAAATTAAAGAACTTCTATTGTACTTCTGATTTACTGAATTCTGTCACTTGTTTTTTCCACATTTTAGGATATGCTTTTTTCTCTTTGTTAATATGATGAGTTATATTGATTAATGTTTGAATATAAAAACCACCTCACATTCTTGTGATAAACTTTTCTTGGTTGTGATGTATTAACCTTTTTATAAATTGCTAAAGTTGACACTAAGTTTTGTAAGAGTTTTGTGTGCCTATCCCTGAGAGATACTATTCTATTTTCTTCTTTTCCTTTAATGTCTTATCTGGTTTTGTGTCAGGGTGGTGAGCTTACTAAAATGAGTAAGACAATGTCCCCTGTTCTTTTTTCTCTGAGAACCATATGCAAGTGGTAGCATTTCTTCCTTCAGTGTTTAGTAGAATTCAGTAGTAAAGCTACTTTGGCATGAGGTTTTCTTTGTGTGAAGCTGTTAAACCATGAATTAAATTGTTGGAGTAGATATAATTCTGTTCAGAACATCTACTTATTCTTACATAAAACTTCATATATGCCTTTCGATGAATTTGTACATTTCATCTTAGTCACTGAATTTAGTGACAAAATGTCCACATTAATATCTTTGATCTTTTCATCTTTGTAGAATCTATACTGATGTGTTCACTCTCATTTTTATATTGGTAATTTATTCTTTTTGTCTTTTCTTCCTTGATCTACCTTGACAAAGATATGTCAGTTTTATTTATATTTCCAAAAAGCCAGATTTTTAGTCCTTCTCTATCGTTGTCTGTTTTGTATTTTTCCATTATTATTTTCTCTCTCCTGTTTACTTGAGATTTAATCTTTACTTCTTTTTAAATCTACTAATTTGGAAACTTAGATCATTGATTTTAGACTTTTCCCATTTTGTAATAAAACATTTCAATGCTATATGTACACCTCTAGGCATCCCACAAATATTGATACGGTGTTTATTTTCATTTCTACTTAGCTCAAAGTATGTTCTAGTTTTCATGTGATTTCTTTGATCCATGTGTTATTTCAAAGTTATTATTGTTTAAATTCCAAACATTTGAGGATGTTCCACCTGTTTTCCATTATTAATTTCTATTTTAACTCTGTTGTGTTTAGAGAACTGATTTTAATCCTCATATATTTAAGAAGCCTTTTTACATATAGCCTGTCTGACTAGTTATTCTTTGTACTCTTGAGAAGAATGTGTGTTCTGCTGAAGTATGTAAAGTGTTCTATGGATGTCAATTAGGACAAACTTATTGAAAGTATGGTTTAGGTCTTATGTAGCCTGTCTGATTTCAGCTACTTGTTCTATTAACAGAGGAGTATGGAAATTTCCACAGTAATTGTAGATATTTTAATTTCTCTTGTAAATTCTATATCCTAAAATTCTATTTATTTCAGGGGTTCAATCTTTCATAATCAGTAAATACACATTTAGCATTATAATATCTTCTTAATGAATTGGCTCCTTGATCATTATGAAATGAAGACTGACATCATATGAAGACCAGTGGAACAAAATAGAGGACCCAGATATGAATCCACACAGCTATGCCCACCTTATTTTTCACAATGGTGCCAAAACCATATGGTGGAGAAAAGACAGCCTCTTCAACAAATGTTGTGGGGAAAAGTGGTTATCTGCCTGCATACAACTGAAACTAGATCTATGCTTGTCACCCTGTACTAGTATCAACTCAAAGTGGATGAAGGACCTTAAGATCAGACCCAAATCCTTGAAGTTAGTACAGAAAAGAGCAGGGAACAATCTGGAAGCAACAAGTATAGGCAAGGACTTCCTCAATAGTACCCCAGCAGCTCAACAACTAAGAGAAAGGATAGACAAATGGGACTTCATAAAATTAAAAAGCTTCTGCACAACAAAAGAAATGGTCTCTAAATTAAGAGAACACCCACAAAATGGGAGAAAATCTTTGGTAGCTATACATAAGACAAGGGACTGATAACTAGAATATACAGGAAGCTCAAAAAACTAAATTCCCCCAAAATCAGGGAACCAAGAAAGAAGTGGGCAACTGAACTAAACAGAACTTTTCAAAGGAAGAACTCCAAAAGGCCAAAACACACATGAGAAAATGCTCACCATTTTTTAATTTTATTTTTCCAATGGCAAATGCCACCAATCATTTTTTTTATTCATTTATTCACATGTTCATACATTCTTTGGGTCATTTTTCCCCCGTACCCCCTGCCCCCACTTTCTCCACCCTCCCTCCCTCTCTTCCAGGCAGAACCTGTTCTGTCCTTATCTCTAATTTTGCTGAAGAGAAGACATAAGCATAATAAGAAAGACAAAGCATTTTTGCTAGTTGAGTTAAGGATAGCTATACAGAGAAATTCCTAGCATTGCTTCCATGTACAAATGTGTTACATCCCAAGTTGATTCATCTCTAACTGATCTTTACACTGGTTCCTGGTCCCCTTCTCGTGTTGACCTCTGTCACTTTAAGGTTTCTGTATTAATTCCTCTGGAGTGGGGATATCAAACACTTTCATGTTTTGGGTTTACTAAATTGAATTATTTATACCAATTACATTTATGTAATTATGAGTACTACTGAATTTAAATCTGTATTTTACTATTTCTTATCTTTTCCCTACCTAGTCTTTGTTCTTTTTCTTTCTCTGCTTCTGTTAGATTGAACATACACTCAATGTTTTCCTTGAATTTTTCTCCTCTATTGGATTACCAGCAATACCTCTGTTTATATTTTAGTGTTTGTCTATACATATTTATCTCACCGCAATCTACTTTCAAATGTTGTTATGCCATTTCATTTATAATTTAATAACTTAATGATAGGATTCTTCCATTTCTCTATTCAGTGCTCCTACTTTTATACTTTTTACTTGTCTGTATATTATAGGACAAAATACATTATTGTTGTTTGCAACAATTACCTTTGAGTTTATTAAAAATAAGAGAAATATATATTTATCAACATATTTCCAATTTCAAGTGCTTTTCATTTTAAGTATAGATCATAATATCCATCTCACTTTTTTATTTTGCCTTTCTTATAGCTTTGTGAATTTCATTATGTCAATATTTAAGACTTTTGTTCATAAAGGGATGGAATTAATAAACAGTATAAAGAAGGAAGAACATAAAGACAATATCTGAGGCTAACAAGGCTTTAAGCTTAAAATATGAGGACATCAACCCTCATACTTTTGTGTTGATGAGGAATATAAATACACAACTGTCAGACAATAAAATAAAAAATCTAATTAGCACAGTAAATAATAATTAGAGAAATGAAAGCTTAAAATAATAGCTAATATCTCTTGATAGCTGTTAGGGTAAAGATAATTAGGATATTGGATAGTAATATGTGTTGGCAGGAAGGAGGAAACACGAGTCCTCAAAAACCATAGAGGTGTGAAGGCTGATGCAGATGGTGAAGAACCCGGGACAGGATTCATTCATGCTTAGGTAATGCACAACCTGTGATCTAGGAATTCTGATCTGTGTCTATACAAGAGGGACAAAGAAATCTCTTTGTGTCCTCAAAGTCCATAGGCATTCGATTCCATAAAGAAATCCTTCTGGGGACATTCATTGTGTCATGCCCCAGGGTTCTGAGAATATAGGGATAAGCTAGGTGTCCATCACCAGGAGAACAAATACACTAAGAAAGTATATTTAACAAATAAAGCAGCAGATTGTCTGTATAACAACATGGGTGGACCCTAAAAAACAATATTTCAAAAGAAAAAGTTAAGAAATAAAATCAGACCTATAACATAAAACATTTACATTCAAAGAGTTTCTACTCCTCTCACTCCATTCTCTTGAGAACAACTGAGTTTCTTCTACACATTAAAGAAACATGTAAATATATTCTAAAAGTCAGTGGTGCCTATGTTCAAAATGTTTTCTTCTTGCAGATGTTGATGAATGCCAGGCCATTCCAGGGATATGCCAGGGAGGAAACTGTATCAACACAGTGGGCTCTTTTGAGTGCAGATGTCCAGCTGGTCACAAGCAGAGTGAAACCACTCAGAAATGTGAAGGTGAGTATCTCTACTTTGGGGAGCAGTACCAATTGTTGACTCTGAATCCAAAATAGCCTGGCTTGTTTGAAATCTTGAAGACTACCAATCATAATCATCATTCTTCATTTTAATGTGAATATACAGATATAATCCACAGTATTTTCTATTGGTTGTATATCATAGCTTTAAAGGGCTTGCTTTAGAAACCCAACAACACATTGCATCTAGTTCGTTATCTTAATTGCTATGTTATAGTGAGAATGGAATTAATTCAGCCATTTACATTTTTAAATTGGGGTAGAGAAAAGAAGTCCAAGTGAAATATAGAATAATGTGTAAAATGATGTGTTATCAGTTGGCACATGTCATATATGATAAAATGAAATATTTTAATACTATACTAATATTGTCGCTTGACTGGTCACCAAATTAAAAAACAAACATAAATGACTCAGGAAGGCTTTGGAAATTGCTTCCACAATAGTGTATGAAAAAATAGCTTGCTTGAATAGATATAAATCAATAATTTTCTGGAATACAAAATATGGGCTATTATTTTGAAATTAAGTTTTTTTGGTTTTTTAATGGTGGTACTAGGGTTTGAACTCAGGGCTTCACACTTGCTAGGCAGCCACTCTACTGCTTGAGCTATACCCTCAGCCTTTTTTGCTGTAGTTGTTTTTGAGATAGGATCTCACTTTTTGTCTAGGCCATCCTAGACTGTGATCCTCTTATTTTAGGCTTCCTTCCTTCACTGGGAGACAGGAACATGCCACCATGCCCACTTTTTCTGTAGAGATGGAGTCTTGAAAAATTTTTTTGCCTGGGCAGTCCTGGAACTAGGATTTTCCCCTCATCAGCTTCCTGTGAAGCTTGGGATGATGGGCATGTACCACTATGCCCAACTATTGGTTGAGATGGAGTCTCACAAACTATTTACCCTGGCTGGCCTCAAACCATAATCCTCCAGATCTTAGCCTCCCGAGCACTTAGGATTACAGGTATGATCCACCAGCACCCAGCTGAAATGAAGTTCTTTCAATGTTCTGTAAATTACTAAGCTGAAGAATCTTCCAAATGAATGTAGCTTCAGTGGTCGTGGATACTTAGAATAGCTTTGAAGCTAGTAGGAATATTGAAGTATGGTTTTATCTGTTTAGTTCTGATGCTATTTAAATCAATTTATTCATCTAAGATAACTTTCTAAAATACAAGGAAGTATAACTATTCTAGTTTTGTTGCAACATAAGTATTCTCATCTTCTCAAATTAAGCCTTTGCTTTTTTCATTTCTAAATGGCAGTATTTGGGGCTTTTTGTTGCTCGGTGACAGAGATAAGTCCCTCTCTGTAGAAAAGAAAATGGAAATGCAAATTCTAAAGTTTAATTATACAAGGTAGATAGGAATATGATCTGTATTACTAGATAGGAGGTAGTGTGTGGATATACGTGCTATTGTTTCAACACTAGGGGCTGTAATTACATAAACCAACTGTGCATGTATCATCCTTTATTTTCCATTTGCTCCTGTTCATTTATAATCACATCCAAATTGATCTTTGTAATTTTACTCATTTTATATTAGTACCAGTTAATTTCATGCTTTCTATAAAGAGAAGATGATTAAAATGTAGTTGATTATTTTAAGGACCAAATAAATTTCTCTAAAACTGCTTTCAAGAATTAACCTAGAAGGTAACACCCACGCACAGGAAATCAATGTGAGTCAATGCCCTGTATAGCTATCCTTATCTCAACCAGCAAAAACCCTTTTTCCTTCCTATTATTGCTTATACTCTCTCTACAACAAAATTAGAAATAAGGGCAAAATAGTTTCTGCTGGGTATTGACGGGGGGAGAGGGAGGGGGCGGAGTGGGTAGTAAGGGAGGGGGTGGGGGCAGGGGGGAGAAATGAACCAAGCCTTGTATGCACATATGAATAATAAAAGAAAAATGAAAAAAAAATAAAAAAATAAAACTGCTTTCAAGAATGCTGAAAGAGTTTATGCTACTTAGGTGCAATGCTCATTGTCAAAGTCTGGAGGTTAAGAAAAATACTTGGACTATGGGGAAAATTGTCTGAACTTCCTGAATTAGAATAGGAATAGAACCTAAAATTCAGGGATCTACAGAAAATATACTGCTTTTCTTTGCTACTTTTTGTATTTTTCCTGTTTTTTTAAATTTTGGTGGGGAGGGGTTGATTCTATTGCTCACCTGTCACTTCTCTTCCCCTCATGATTTACTTCTAGAATAATCTCCAAACTAGATCCAAGGTTGGTGTACTTTGGACCAAAAACAGTATGTGATTATGGTGAGAAGGGCACCACTGACTGAGTATAGTGGTTGTGACATTTCCATTACACATCAAACAATGGATTTCTTCTTAGTTGAAAATGGAGCAAGCCTTTTCTACATCACATTTCATCCAAAACAACATACAGAGCCAAGCCAGAACTGAAGAAAGACAGTGCAGCTCTTTATTTGGTATTCATCTATGTTCTTTAGGAATGGGGATTATTGATGCAATGTAGGCACCACCCAGAGCCCTGAATCCAGTCGTGTCTTTCCTTACTTCCCTCCAAGGCAGCCAAGTCTATTTAACCACTGCCCAGAAAGAATTATGTGATTTAATATTTGGAACTTGTGGAGAATAGCAGGATTGGAATAAGTGGTGATTAGAATTGGAAATCTAAAGGTTTTACAAAGGCCTTGTACATAAGTCATTTTTATTTAGGTATGTCTTGAAAGTGGTTATTATTAGTTTTCTTTGGGCAATATTATTACTTTATGTAAAGAGCAAATAGTATTTACTTACATAAAATTATCTAATGTAATTGGTAGTACAATGAATCTTGAAAGACTAAATGGTTGCTGTACTTAATGACATGTTTTGAATTTTAGTCATATATAGTTAGCATAAAATGTTGTAAATTTAAAGTTGATTCTGAATAAAAATATAAACATAGCAATTACTTTTGGCCAGCTGTCAAAAGCAAGGCATTTTAATTTCTTATGTGAGTTACAATGTAAATGTAAAATGCAGTATTGACAAGTTTATTTTAAAATTATGACCTTCGTATTTTTATTAATTTCATATTTCTGTTCATACAGTAATAAAATTCTCTAAAGAAATCTTGTTAATCTTTAAATTACTAGGACTGTTCAAAACTAAGAAAGATAACGCCAGCATTTAGGGTCTGAATGATTAGGGAAAATGGTGGTATGATTAACAAGAGATTGCAAAACTAGCTTATTAATTTAAACAATTGTAATATTGATTTTGGATTGGATTGGATATAGACTACTGTCTAAGCTATAAATCTGACCTTAAAGCAGAAAGGAATACACATTGCTGAACATGGTGCTTTGCACCTGTAATCTCAGCACTCCGGAATCTGAAGCAGGAGAATTGAAAGTTCCAGGCCAGCCTGGGCAACATATAGCAAGGCTCAATCTCAAAAAAAAAGGAAGTGAGGGAGGGAGAGAGGAAAGGAGGGAAGAAAAGAGGGTGTTGGAAAAAAAGAAAGAAAGAAAGAAAATGGAAGGGAGGGAGGGAGGAAAGAAGGAGGAAAAGAAAGAAAGGAAGGAAAATTACATGTCTGTCTCTTTCGGTCTCTGTCTCCCTGTGCATGTGTGCATGTGTGTGTATGTGTGTGTGTGTATGTGTGTGTGAGTGAAAAAAATTAGTTAGTATCCGAAATTCCATAAAACCCCTGATGAGTGCCACTGAAGTCATGTCTTATTTCTCCTGGGCCAGTTTGTTCCAAAAGACTAATTTCTCAATTCTGTCATATGGCAGGCAAAATGATTCTTCAGTGGAGTAAACCATTTCTTCACATCCAAAGAGAACATTGTTCTAGTTACTTACTCTGTTCAGACATTCATTAATCTAAATATCCTATTTAATTTAAATGAGGGAAAGCAAACTACATCAATGCAATCTGAAATCAAATCATATACCTGAAGAGTGTCAAGCTTTTTCCTTTCTTCAAGTAAAATATGTTAATTTGCAATTCAGTACACATGGATAAAGCACTGTAGATGCCAGGTGTCCTTGCACGACCCCCTCTTCCAGACTATACTTTCTTTAACATTCTCTGAGCTGATCATTCTTTCCTGGCTTATTTGGAATGCAGGAAAAAAGCATCATGGTCCTGAAGTATTTTCATTCAATGGCTCTTTATATGTCAGACGGTTGTTTAAATTTATTCTGAAGAGTCTTCAGCTTTGTTCCATTTACACAGCATTTTGTCATTTGAGATTTGTGACAAAAAAATGTATTTATTTATGTTCAGAAAATGCATAACACTTGTTGCCACAGTCTCTTGCTGCTGTTCCAACTCAGCTTTGATAAACCATGGAAAATAAACTTTCTGTACTAAAGTAAAAGTATTTACTTTTACCATATTACCATAACTATATTATTTTAAAAATAAATAATCCAATGGCTATTTCTCAAAGGGAAAACTATGTATTAAAATGGACAATGAAGTAAGGGGATTGTTAATATTAGAAGCATAAAACTTTTGAGGTTTAGCAATTCAGAAATGATGAAAATCATCATCTTTTAAGTTTAAAACAAAATTTATAAACTATAGTTAAAATACATATATTCCCTTTCTTTTGGGGCTGCCTTACCAAACCTATTTTCTGTCCCATTACAAATAATTTATTCTTCTGTCACATATCACATTATGTTTTTTTAACTTAGACGATTATATGCACCAATGATAAAAGCTAATATTCACTACATGTACTATATTCAAGGCAATCCTAAAAAGATAACATACTTTACATAGACTAGCTTATTTAATTATCACAACAGAGGTGTGAGGTTGGTTACTAACAATCCTTTTAACAGATGGGAAAAGCCAGGCACAGAGAGCCAACAACTTTCTTAAGATTATATAGGGAAGAAACACAGAGCAAAGGTTCCAACCCACTGACTTCTCTGCAGAGCTTTTGCTCATGAACAGGGCTATGGGTCCAGCAAAGGCAGATGACCAGGAGGCCATG